AATACACATAAAGAAAGAAGCACAACAGAAAAAGCAAACTTCAAAATAACGAGTGTCACACAATTTTTTCCCAATTGCTATTGCAAATGGCTGCTTCTCAACCGGTCAGATCTGTTCTAATTGGTTCATGGGTTCATTCCTTATCTTTTTGGACTAAAATCTGAAAAAAGTCAAAATGCCAGAGCGTAAGCAAAACGCTCTCACTAAAAGAGAATAACAGGAAAAGTAAAGGCCCGCAAAAAACCAAATTTTTAGTCCAAAGAATGGCAACAACAAAACTAACGTCAAATAAGAATAGAAATGTATGTACAAAACACATTCACACAAGCACAAGCATAATAAACACTTACTATATCGATTATTTTTTGGCTCCTTCCAATTTCAATTCACTTTTTAGATTATTCTCACTTTCTGCGTATTCTTTAATTTCCGTTAATTTAAATTCAGTTAAGTTTGACACTTTTCAAGATTTTGCCAGAAATAATTCTGACTAAATCTGACTACTTGATGAGAGTCACTCTCACCGGGTGTTGCTTTCTCATTTTTGCTGTCATTTCCGAGTTAAGGAATGCTTTTTGGACTAAAACTGACTACTTCGGACTTTTTCTGACTATTTCTGGGAGCGGCCTATTAAAAGTTTTGTAACCGGTAAATTAAGTTCTTGTCAAATTTTAAACCCATTTCGAATTCTGTGTACTCTTGTAAGCAGTAAATTTTGTTACCCTCTCATAAGCTGCTAACAAATTATTGCCCCGTGAAATGTACAATGCCAGAGTTTCCACAATTCTTCATAGCTGAATTGCTGAATATTTTAACTGCATTACCAACGTAACCACAATCGCTATGACAAGAACTGGTAAATCCTGATGTCAAATGTGACGTTAAATTTTTACAAAGTGTAGAATACCGACCTTTTAGCTATAGACAAACCAAAAATGTAATTGGATAGAACTTTTCATGTGGATTTCAGCCTTACAAAAATTATTTAGCGCAAGTAAAAAATTAAGAAGATATAGGAGGTTAAGTTAAAATTTTCGATATTTTGAAATATCAATATCTTATAACTACATACCCGATTTAACAACTAATTATGTCAAAATAAAGATGATTCGTTTATCTTTCAGCCGATGTACATAATTTTTATAATTTTTTATATTTTTAAGTCAAAAATACTAAAAAACAAAGTACATTAATTTTATCATTAAATTTCCTTTTTTGAAGAAAATTACATAATTAATGCTCCAGAAATTTATATTATTTAGAAAGTACAAGTTATTACCTTATATATAAAGGTTTGCTATAGGGCGGAATTTAACAAAAGTAGTGGTAAACATCGAAATTGTATTTCTATTTTTTTTAAAAAGCGTTTACCAAAAATTTGTTTTAAAAATGGTTATAGTGAATACGTCGTAAAAAAGCTATTAAAATTATCTTTGAATTAGCATCAATACTTTTCCAATCGTTCAAGTAGTTTCCGAGATATTAAACATATACAAAATAGAAAAGTTGAAGTTTAATGCAGCGTTTTCGCTGCATTTAAAATGCAACATTTAGCACTTTCGAACATATGTTTTCG